ACCCCGGTGTGTGAGGGTGTAGAGGAAGACTCGAGAGACAGGCAGAATCTTAACTGAGCTCCAGGCTCACGTTTATTCAGACTGCACTTTTCAGCGCACTTTCAAAGCTCAACAGAAAACACTTGCAGCTTTCGCTCCATCAGGTTCTAGTTCACACTTCTTGGCGTGGGTACATGTGTGTGCGTGTGTGTGCATTGCAAGCTCTTGCCAAGTGGTCTTGCACTCTGTCTCTCGCTCAGTGATGGGTTATAGGAGTCACTGAAAGCACAAACAGACACAAATAAGTAGAGTGCTAGTAATCAGACACAGGTGAGAATCATCACGCATTACCTGCTGGTTCGACCTGTGTCCTCTCTGTCCACAGCTGATGCTTGACCACACCCCTGCTGCCACATACGCCACCACTCGACTCAGGCCGGGGAGCCGTCCGGCCTGCAGCTGACTCCCCCCGGCGGGAGAAGTAATCCACCACCACCATCTGCGCCCCCGGCCTGTGGACCACCTCGACTTTGAATGGTTGAAGTGCCAGATACCAACAAGTGATCCACATGTTGGCACCCTTCATGCGGTGTAGCCACTGGAGCGGAGTATGATTGGAACAGAGGGTGAAAGGGTGCCCCAGTAGGTTGTACCAGAGGGTGAGGACCACCCACTTGATGGCCAGACACGATTGTACAGCACGTACTTGGTTTCCCTCACTGAGAGTTTCCGGCTGATGTACAGCACGGGGCACTCCTCCCTCTCCACTACCTGGGACAAAATGGCCCCAGCCCTCTGTCCGATATGTCAGTCTGTAGAACAAAAATGATAGAAAAGTCAGGTGAATGCAACAGCAGGCCCCCACTCAAAAACTGCTTTTACCTGGCAGAAAGCCCGCTTGCATGGCTCTGTCCACTGGACCGGATCTGGGGCCCCCTTTTTAGTGAGGTCAGTCAGCGGGCTGGTGATGTCTGAAAAATTAGGTACAAACCTCCTACAATAGCCAGCCAGCCCCAAGAACTGCCTCACCCCCTTTTTGGTCTTGGGTCTCAGGCAGGCTGCAATCAATGCTCTCTTATCAATTTGGGGGCGCACGTGCCCATGGCCCAAGTGAAAGCCTAGATACCGTACATCCACCCACCCAATTGCACACTTCTTTGGTTTTGCTGTGAGTCCCGCCCCTCTCAATGTTCTCTAGACTGCCCTCAGATGTTGTAAATGCCTCTGCCAATCATTACTATTAATGATTATATCTAAATAATCAGCGTGATATGCATTGTGCGGGCAGAGGTGTAACCCAAATGGTGTGGAAAAGGCTGTTTTTTCCCAAGATATTGCAGTCAAGGGAATCTGCCAATACCCCTTAGTTAAATCCAGTGTCAAATAATAGTGATCCGCACCTAATCGATTGAGCAGTTCATCAATGCGAGGCATTGGATATGCATCAAATTTAGACGTCATGTTGACTTTTCTAAAGTCCACACACAAAAACAGACCGACCCCTTGCCTTGGGCACCAAGACCACTGGGCTGCTCCAATCACTGTGGGACTCCTTGATTACTTCCATGTCAAGCATACCCTTGAATTTGTCACAAACCACATTTTTTTGTGTTCAGGCAAGTGGTATGGGTGGCCATGTTCAGGCAACTGGTACATGCCACACACCACCGCACACAAACAGGCCATGAGCTGGTTCAGTGTTTTATCCTGCCCCAAATGCCCAGACATGGGATTATGATGAGCCGCATGGAACAGGAGTTCCCTACGGCTCTTCGGCACTAACAACTGCGTTGTCTCTTCTTTAGTTTGAGTGTCCTGCTTCACTCGATATAACTTATCCTTAATAACTGAAAAGTATGGGTGGGTGAATTTGCTGACCATCAATTATTCTTACTTGGTCGAAGACATGCCTCGGGGTCTCGTCACACAACTGCTCCAAGTGGAAATCCCCTAGGGGAATCCCTGCCAAGGGTGGGGGCTGGAGCCCTCCCCACCCTCCATGTCCCCAGACACGGAGCTGACGTCGACAGCTCAGGCAAAGCCTCCCCAGCCAGCATTGTGCACATTCCACACCGTGCCTCACTACTGCAGGACCCATCCACAAACATTTCCCTCACTAATACCTGAAACCCTGGCCAATTTGTCCCAAGAATTAGTGGATGGGTGAGGTGAGGACTAACCTCCGCCTCCACGTTATGCTTTTGCATAAAAGGAGTGGGAGAAGAACAACAAGGAGGAAACCGGGTTCGGGGGGACGGTTTTAGGGTCTTTTCCGGGGAGCTGGAACCGGGGGAGTAGAAAGAGAGAGATAGGGAGAGAGCAAGAAAAAAGATGCCTGGACCAGGAACTGCTGCCAAGTGATCCTCCGGCAGCTGCACGGATTTGTCCAGGGACCGGTGGCACTGGACCCACTCTGCTGGCCCCCATCGGGAGTCGGGCCATGAACTGCTCCAGTACCACCAGCTCAATGATCTGTTCTGCGTCTCAATCCTCTGCCATCAACCACCGGCAACAAGAGTCCTTCAGCTGCTGCTCATAGGTGAGTGGGCGGCCAGTCTCGGGGAGCTGCAGTGAATGGAAGCATTGGCAGTGCTCCTCAGGTGGCCGGTAGATGTGCTGCAGGACTGCCCCCTTGACCCTGGAATACTCTGGCTATGTCCGCAGTGGCAGCTGCTGGGCGGCGAGCTGGGCTTCCCCTGATAGCAAGGGGAGGAGTCGCAGAGCCAGGTTCAAGTTTACGCTTCTTGGCATTGGTACGTGTGTGTGTGTGTGTGTGTGTCTCGTAAACTCTTGCCAAGTGGTCTTGCACTCCGTCTCTGACTCGCTCACAGGTTATGGGAGTCAATGAAAACACAGACAGACACAAATAAGTAGACTGCCAGTAATTAGACACAGGTGAGAATCATCATGCGTTACCTGCCGGTTCAACCCACCTCCTTTCCACCCACAGCTGACGCTCGACCATGTCCCCGACACCACAGGTTGTTGTTGTTATTATTATTATTATTATTATTATTATTGTTGTTGTTGTTGTAAAAATCCTATATAACATTCATTTATTTCTCATTAGTAAGCACTTTATCTTGGTCAGGGTCAGATTGGATCCAGAGCCTACCCTGGGAACAGTGGGCGCGTACTCAGTTTGCTTAATGATTTTCAAATGATCTTTTACTCAGTTCTATTACATTATAAATATACATTTAATAATTTAATAAAATAATAACAGTTTTTAATGTGATTCAACAACAAATTGTATTACAGTTAAGTAGCGCAATTTAATAAAATGTCTTCTTTATTAAAAACAATCTCACTCTTAAAGGTATTTTTGAATAGCTACAAGCACCTCCATAATTATTGGCACCCTTCAAAAGAAAAGGCCAAAATGTTTATATAAAATAAATATTAATTATTCAGAAACTACTTGCCTTTTATTTAGCAGAAAACAATTCTAAAAAAAAACTTCTATATTTAATATTTTCTCTCAAAAACATGTCAAATTATTGACACTCCTAAAGAATATATAAAATAAATGCTGATCGACTATCACCTTTGGGAAAAGCAAAAAGAGACACAAAAGAAACAGATGGCTGTTGACCTGTACACGTTAGGTAATGGATATAACCCTAGTTAAAATACCATTAAGAAATTGTCATAATTAAAATGTTTAAAACTTTTGGAACAGTAAAATATGCCAGCAAGCACAAACAAGCGTATACTGCCCCCGTACACAGTAAGGAAGATTGAGGGAGTGAAAGAAGACTCCAATCATCTCAGTTTTAGAATTGCACTAAAGACTGTGCAGTGCCACAACTTTTACCAAAGGTCAATGGGACTACAGCTGAAACTGTGTGTTGTAGTCAGATGATAACACCTTCAGAATGTTTGGTAAAAAGGGGAACTGCAAATAAATAAAAGAGCCTGCTACACATTGTCAAATATAGGTATAGATCACCGATGCTTTGTGGCTGTTTAGTGATGAAAGTTGTCATCATGAATTTTACTAAATGTTAGGATATTTTAGCCCTAAGCCTAAATAAATCTCATTGCATGTGTTCTTTATTTTACAAATTCTTGTTTGCTCATTTTCATCAGGGGTGTTAATAATTCATTCTTCTTAAACAACCACTTTATCCTGTTCAGGGTTGTTGTGCTTTGGAAGTGGGAATACACCCTGGATCATTTTGTGGCAGGGCATTGAGCACACACGCATTCACACATATTCATTCACACCTATGAGCAATTTAGCATAGCCAATCCAGGAAACCAAAGGAGGAAACCCACAAGGAGATATTTTTTTAGGAGGCGAGAGGAAACTGAAGAGCTTAGAGTAAAGTCACAGGGACATGGGACAAACATGCAATCTCCACACAGACAGTAACCCAAGCTCAGGATTGAACCTGGGACCCTGGAACTTACCTGCTTTACCTGCTGTGTAAGTAATTGTGGATTGTACTTTTTTTAGTGTATTTGTTGAATAAATCCAGTATAGTCCAAAATATTAATTCAATTTTATAGTCAGTAGAATATTCTAACTGTGGTTACAGTGGAACATGGTTAGGAGTACACACCCTTAGATGATTCCTAAACAGTTCCACTATAAGGAATGTCTTTCAAGTTAAATTAAGCCATATACTGATATTATCACATTCTCAAGAATAAACCAGACCCAAACTTTGTACTACCAGTGAAACTGAATATTGTCTTGAATATATAATAATAAAATGGGTATCTTTAAATATTGCAGTGGTACTGTGAAATC